TCGAATTCATGTAAATTCCACCAAAAGCAGTTATTTAATTTTCGAACTCACTTTAATGTGCCTTCGCCATCATTAATATAATCACAATCCTCACTTTCTCTGAGAGCAGTGAACCAACGAATTCTTTAAAACTGGGTTTTATCAAAAGAACTTCCACTTTAAAAGCCTCCTGAACCTGGAGGAGGCTGGCAGGACACAGTCAGAAGGTGACGATTTGAATTTCTGAACTACAGAGTTCACAGAGTGTTAGGAGCCTTTTCTCTGTTTCTTGTTTTGTGAAAGAATCTTTGCTCCAGCTCAGATTCATTTTTCTTCGCATCAGCTGCAAGAGAGCGAACCCAACTTTGCTGCAAATCAAAACCCTGACAGTTCTATTTCCCCGAGATAATTGCATACTGCTTTGGAGTTTCCTTTTCCCCTCTGTTTCCTTTTGTTTTGACAACAAGATACTGGGAAAACAATATACAATTGATAACTATGCTGTCATGAGTATACTGAATTTTAAAAATAAATAACTGTCGACCCCAAAAGCTTCCAGGAGCCTATGGAGTGAGTTCTTTTTCCAAACCGTTCCAAAACCAGATGTGGAAATGTTTAGCTAATTCCCCTTCCCAATCCCCATGCAAAGGGTTCATATGTGTCTCTAACGACATCAGAGGAGATGGGAAGGCAAAAAAAAACAAAACACAACAAAACAAAAAAACCCGTCTGCTCTCACCAGGCACAAACAGCACAAAACTAATTTGGTCTGCAGCTTTTGTCTCTTTCAAAAAGGGTCTTTTCTTCCCGAGATTAGAAGTGCTCTGTGTTTATGCCAATCTCCAGTCTCTTTCTTGTAAGACATGAAGAAATAGAGTTCATGTTCCCAAAGTGAAACATTTCATGATTTTTTTGAAATGTAAAAGATGAATGAATGAATGAATGCAAAAGATTTATTAAGAATTGGGCTTATTAGGGAGTTCTTGAAAAAAAGAAAGGCAAGGAGGAAAAGTCTGTCAAAGGAACTAATGGAAAATATATATGCATAGACCACATGTAGAGAAACAGAAAGCTACTGTGCTCTGTCGCTGCAGGGAAAGCAAACATTTTGCATCCAGGTGCCATTAGTAGTTCTGGGTCTGTGGGTCTCTATAGCTCAGTTCTGGAAGGCTTGGACCCACAGCGGAGCCCTGCTCGGCTGTACGAGTGCACCAAACTCATTGCTTCTGGAATGTCGCGCGGGGCTAATTTGCAATCAAGTCAAAATGGGGCTATGGTAATGCCAACCCTGAGACTTGCTTTCTAAATGCCCAACCTCCCCCTCAAGAAGCTGGACAGTGGTCCCAAGGTGAGCACTCCCTTCTCTGCATTTATTTCTTCCTTGTCCCCAGCTCCCCTTAGTTCTGAAGATTTCTGGAGACTTTAAATAAGATTCTGTCCACAGCTCCAGGGATGCTACAGATACCTTCCATTTGGCACCCCCCACCCCCCCCCACACACACACACAAAACCTGCTCTTCTGGTGCCCCTTCCCATCAGTAGCCCCTCGGCCTTCTTCTTCCTCTTCTGCCACTGAGCAGAGCCCACCCTGTCCCTCGCCTGTCTGGTCCCATTCTGCCAGCATGCCTCAGCTAGAAGTTAGAAAAGCCAGCTGATGTGATGATTTTGCACTGTGTTGGGAATGGCTTGTCACCATCCACCACACACACACACACACACACACACACACACACACACACACACACACACACCCTCTACCCTGGCCTGGGAATGTTGGGCAGCAGGAAAGGGGGGGTTGCTGCCCAGTGCTGATGACCTGTCCTCAGCAAAACAGAACGACTCCCAAAGGGCGGCACCAAGCTGGGGTTAGCGAGCTCATTAGCAAGTGCATTCTGCTCTCCTCCTGGCCCCCCCACTCCTCCGTCTTGAACGTGGGTCCCTCTGACTTCATTTTTAAGTTTTCTCTGAGCTCGAAGGTGTGCTGCCACACACAGCGGCATCTTCAGGGACTGCTTCCCCTTGCGTGGCCATCTGCTCCTGCCTGTGAAAAACCGGAGAACAGAGAGATGGTCCTCAGTTTGGAGATTTGTGCTAAACGCACCCCCAAACTCAGTGACGTTCCTAAACCTCTATCGTCGAGACTGATTCAGTGCAGAGGGTGAGGCGGTCTCAAATGATTGCTTGCGGGACGGCTGTCTTGTTTCTCAGAGACTCCGGGCTTTTTAGAACCCTGTTTGGATTATTCACGGGAGGGGGAGGGGGAGAGGGAAGATGCTGGAGAAACGGAAGGCTGAACTCCCCGCCCCGCACCGGGACCCGGCCTCAAACTTGGAGTCTCAGTTTAGGGTTGGGACAACCAAAATGGAAGAGAAGGATTGTTTCTTTGGCCTAGTCCAGGAACTCCTTCAAGGGGGAGGTTTTTGTTCAGGGCAAATAGGTCCTGGTTCTGAGATGACGGTAAGGGCAGGGACAAGGGAGAGAGGGCAAGAAAGCCACTCCGAAAACACGCTCAGGGCAGGGTGGGCTCCGTGAAACCCGGACAGAGTGGATGGCGCACTGGCGACAGAGCGATGACCTCAGCAAGCATCAGGCGCCATTCCAGAGCAAGCGGTTTGTTTACGTAACTGTTGAGTCATTCTCCAAGACCAACCGGCATCAGAGTTGACTTGCGGTTTGTTGTTGTTGCTCTTTTATTTTGTGTGTTTTGTTTTTTCGGAGGGGCAAGAGGGTCCGTTTCTCTGTTTTGTTGCTGCTCCTTCTGTTTCTGCTTGTGCAAGACAAAAAGGCAGTCCCAGGAGAGACACTGGAACAAACCAAGAGGGAAGGAAGGAGCCCGGGAGACCCCTTAGACTTCTCTCTACACCCAGGGCCCCCGAGAGAGAATGAGGAGTCATTCAGGAGAGAGCTACGGAGGCGCGATCCGCACCTATCACAGCAAGTGCCTGACTTGGACACAAAGCCACTCGTGCAGGCCATTGCGCTCTTCTAGGGGGCCCCTTACATCATGGTTTCCATCAAAGAATGCAGCAAGTTCATCAACATCAGAGCAAGGGAAAGAGCCGCGTTTTTGCGACTGGGGAAGGGGGAAGATAGAAATGTCTGGGATGCCTTGCATATAGTAGGCGCTCAATAATAAGACTCAAATGGGCGCCTGGGTGGCTCAGTCGTTAAGCGTCTGCCTTCAGCTCAGGTCATGATCCCAGGGTCCTGGGATCGAGCCCCGCGTCGGGCTCCCTGCTCAGCGGGAAGCCTGCTTCTCCCTCTCCCACTCCCCCTGCTTGTGTTCCTTCTCTCGCTGTGTCTCTCTCTGTCAAATAAATAAATAAAATCTTTAAAAAAAAAATAATAAGAATCAAAGAATGGATTCGTACAGGCCCGGGTGACTTAACTCATCAGGGAACAAAAGTAAAACCCCACACTTATGCATATCCATTTCCTTCGAAAGTTTGGGCGCGTTTCTATTTGGTTTATGTCATTTTCGCTTTTTAAAAATGAAAGTGGACTTGGACAATATTTGATGATATTCCTCTTCCTTCCTTCTTGTGTCGCTTGTCGCCTCCTTCTGATACTGGGTTTTAGACGTATGTCCTTGCTTAGCCTGGCTCATTTTTCTCCCCATTTTGCTCTCCCCACCACTCTTTAGGAGGTGAAAGGCAGTAGGACTAGGAAGTGGCCACAGAGCTTCCCACTGAAAAAGAAGAGACATTAAAAACAAAAAACAAAAAACACAAAAACCTAGCGAAAACAAAAGAAAACTATAAAGCAAAGCATAGGACTCGGTGAGGTGCAAACCATGGCTGCAGAGAAGATGTTAGGAGCTACCTCGCCAACCAGTGTGCGAGGTACAACCCCACGACTCGCTTTCTTCGATCTGGCGCTCTTGAATTGTTTTCGTGTATAATATGAATGGGAAAATGTAAAATTAAAAAGCAGTACTTTTTGTTTCTGCAGTTTCACCATTTTACAAGGTGCCCCGATTGACGTATCAGGGAATCTCTGGGTCTCTTACGATGTTACTGCGACAGTTTATGGAGTATCCATTTGCTTATTTTAAGTGAGTCTCTTGGGGAGATTTCAATATGTGGTTGTCAGGAATAAACCACATTTTCTTCTCTGGCTTTTATTTAATTGTGTTTGTCGCTCACCAACACAAGACAATAGGGAGGGGTGCATCTATGGTATAAGAGAGGACCCGGGGGCCCTTAAGGAGAGTGGTGCCACCAGCTTGAATTAAATTGGATCTCCTGTCACCTTAGTTAATGTTTGCCATGAAAACAGTTTCATTTTCTTTGTTGGGGTTGCACACAAAGGGATGCCTTTGCTGACCAGGGTCGACTCTCATTTGATATATGAAGGATATGCATTTTATACTGAAACAGCATGGTAAAGCCACTGAGAGAAGACCCTGTGGTCATCTACCACCACATGAGTTCCAGCCATGAAATTGAAATTCTGTTCTCTCTCACAAGAATGTTTTCCTTTTCTCTGTTTTCTTTGTTTTCAGTTTTATCGAGGTATAACTGACAAATAAAATTATAGGATATTGAGGGGCGCCTGGGTGGCTCAATGGGTTAAGCACCTGCCTTCGGTTCAGGTCATGATCTCAGGGTCCCAGGATCGAGTCCCGCATTGGGCTCCCCGCTCAGCAGAGAGCCTGCTTCTCCCTCTCCCTCTGCCCCTCCCCCCTGCTTGTGCTCGCTCTCTGACAAATAAATAAAATCTTTTTAAAAAGTTATAGGATATTGAAAGTGTACAACGTGATGGTTTGACATATGAATAGATCGTGAAAGAATTCGCCCAGTCGAGTTAACACATCCATCGCCTCACCTTTGTTCAGACACATTTTAAGGCCTACTCTCTTAACCTTTTGGAAATACTTCTTTTCTTTTTTTTTTTAATGATTGTGTTTGAACTTTCAATAGGAAATAAGATGATGTGCCTTTTGTGTCTCTGTGTGTTCTAGAAATCCTCACCAGCCAGCTTCCAGTTTCCTGAGCGTCGTTGCCTGATCGGCCACAGGGATGAAAGTGTCCGAGTTGATAGGAGGGATAGTCATCCTCGCCTCTGTGTTTTCGGCCTGTGTGGCCCAAAGTCCAGTGACTGTGCTGTGCTCCATAGACTGGTTCATGGTCACCGTGCACCCCTTCATGTTGAATAACGACGTATACGTGCACTTCCATGAGTTACACTTGGGCCTGGGCTGCCCTGCCAACCACGTTCAGCCACACGCCTACCAGTTCACCTACCGCGTTACGGAATGTGGCATCCGGGCCAAGGCTGTGTCTCTGGACATGGTCATGTACAGCACAGAGCTGCACTACGCTTCCAAGGGGACCTCTTCGAAGTACACGATCCCAGTGTCCTGCACTGCTCCCCAGCAGTCCCCATGGCTTGCTCCACCCTGCTCCGTGAGAGTAGCTGGTGGGACAGGCACCGCCACTCAGCTCGGCGGGGCAAGCTATGACGTGTTCACCTTGTCGCAGTCCAGCCAAAGGGCTGACTGCGACTGTCCGCCTTGTGTCTTCGGCGAAGAGGAGCGCACCCAGGCCCCCCGGCACCAAGCGGAGGCTCAGGAGGGCCAGCTGGTGCGTCCGTCTGCCTTTGTGGATGTTTCTGAAGACTGGTCTCTTTGCTTGGATGATCTCATTGAGTCCATGTGATCCCCGGCTTTGGGGTCTCCTGTAGATGCTTTTTCTAACATGAGTATGTAATATTTTCTAATCTCAGACAAGTAAGTGGTTTTGGTAGCCCCTTTATGAGTGCCTTCGAGAGAGGGCAGCTCGTGGTATTTTCATGAATAAAGCTTTTCTATATTTTTATATCTTTTTTATTTTTTTTATTTTTTTTTAATTTATTTATTCATGAGAGACAGAGAGAGAGAGAGGCAGGCTCCCAAGGAGCAGGGAGCCCGATGCAGGACTCGATCCCAGGACCCTGGCATCATGACCTGAGCCGAAGGCAGACGCTTAACCATCTGAGCCACCCAGGCGCCCTTATATCTTTTTTTAAAAAATAAAATTTTGATGGCATAAAACTATCAGTTCAGCATTTTTATTTAATAAACACACACACACACACACACACACATAACTTTTGCTGGGGGCCAAACACTGTTCTAAGGGCTTTACAAACATGAGTGCCTGGTCTCTTCTGTCTAGGATGATTGAGCGCTCCTTGAAGGCCCCCAACTGAATCCCTCCCTCCATGTCCCCATTTCACTTACACTCTGTACCTCCCAACCTGGCACTGAGCCTCACGCCTTCTTCTTAGTCTGATCGACGGCTGTACCACTTTTCATTTGTGGGACGTTTAGATTCCACTAGTGATTCAGAAACCACCAATGGTTCTAAGAATTACTCAGGTCACATCCCACCAACTAGATGGTAAGCTCCTGAGGCCAAGGGCTGGATCTTCTATTTAGTCCCAGACCGATAGCACTTTGGAAGGAGTTTTGTTCCCTGACTTTTGTGATCAGAAAATTTTCACCCAGGGTTGGCTAACCATTAGCTTTCTCAAACCCTTGGAAGGGTAAAAGTGGGTAAATGTATTCAACAAATATTCCCTGAGTGCTACTACATTTCAGGTACCATTCTAGGCACTGAGATATGACAGTGAATAGAAACTGAGCCTCAGGGTTGCCTGGGTGGCTCAGTCGTTAAGCGTCTGCCTTCGGCTCAGGTCATGATCCGAGGGTCCTGGGATCGAGCCCCACATCGGGCTCCCTGCACCACGGGAAGCCTGCTTCTCCCTCTCCCACTCCCCCTGCTTGTGTTCCCTCTCTCACTATCTCTCTCTCTCTGTCAAATAAAATCTTTAAAAAAAAAAAAGAAACTGAGCCTCAGAGAAATTGAGGTCACACAGCTAATAAATAAGTAAACAACAATATGTTCAGATAACAATGAAAGCCATGAAAAAACTTGAAACCAGGTAATACGAGAGAAACTGGAGACGGGGTCAGAGCGGTCAGGGACTCTGAAGACTTGTCATTTGAACTGAGACTTGATGTGAAGAAGGAGCCAGTCCTGGGATGATCTGCGAGAACATTCCAAATAGTAAAAGCATCTCATGTAATCTTCACTACAACCTTGATCCACTGTACAAATAAGGAAACTGAGACACAGAATGATTAAGAAACTTGCCCAAGGCTGCACACCTATTAAGAAGCGACAGTGTTAGCACAATGTACATGATACTATACACAATGTGCATGATATTGTACACAATGTGCATGATATGGTACTCATTCAGCAGATGAGTAGAAATTCAGTCACTGTCTCCATCTGTTCAGGCCGCTCTAACAAAGTACCATAGACTGGGGGGCTTATAAACAACAAGCATTTATTTCTCATGGTCCTGGAGGCTAGAAATTCGAGATCAGGGTGCCGGTATGGTCAAATTCTGGTGACACACTTCCGGGTTGCAAGCTGCTGTCTTCTGGTTGTGTCCTCACATGGCAGAAAGACAGCAAGACAGTTCTCTGGGGTCCTTTTTATAAGGCACTAATCCCATGCACAAGGGCCCCACTCTCACAACCTGATCACCTCCCAAGGGCCCACCTCTTAATGCCAGCACACTGGGGGTTAGGATTTCACCATATGAATTTGGGGGACACCCAAACATTCAGTCCATTGCATTCATGGTAGTTGAAGAAACAGCTCATTTAAAAATCTCCTGCCCCTTTGGGGCGCCTGGGTGGCTCAGTCGGTTAAGTGTCCTACTCTTGATTTAGGCTCAGGTCATGACCTCAGGGTGGTGGGATCCAGCCCCAGGTCGGGCTCCGTGCTCAGCACAGACAGAGTCGGCTTGTCCCTCTCCCTCTGCTCCTCAATCTCTCTCTCTCTCTCACTCTCTCAAATAAATAAATAATCTTAAAAAAAAAAAAAAGCTCCTGCCCCTCCCTGAGGAAAACCCAGAACGGAGACCTCGAAAACAGTCTATTCATTCAACAAACGTTTCTTGAGCTTGCCCTATGTCCCAGGCCTTATCTTAGACGCCGAGCTGCACTGGTGAACAAAACCAACAGTCTAGGGGCGCCTGGGTGGCTCAGTCGTTGGGCGTCTGCCTTCGGCTCAGGTCATGGTCCCAGGGTCCTGGGATCGAGCCCCGCATCGGGCTCCCCGCTCCGCAGGAGGCCTGCTTCTCCCTCTCCCACTCCCCCTGCTTGTGTTCCCTGTCTCGCTGTGTCTCTCTCTGTCAAATAAATAAAATCTTTAAAAAACAACAACAACAACAACAACAGTCTCATCAGGAGGAGGCAAGTAAAAAAGCCTAAGGAACTGAGGCTATTCCAGCCCAGAGAAAGCCTGTGTAGACGATACGAGCTATGGCCATCAGAAGGACCGCAAGTAGTTTAGTCCAATACGATGGCTGGGGGAGCGGGGGTGGGGGGAGGGCAGTCGATGGTAGCAAGCGATGAGGTTAGAGAAGTAGCAGTGGGGCGCCTGGGTGGCTCAGTTGTTAAGCGTCAGCCTTTGGCTCAGGTCATGCCCCCGGGGTCCTGGGATCGAGCCCCTCATCGGGCTCCTTGCTCAGTCTGCTTCTCCCCCTGCCTCTCTCTCTCTGTCTCTCATGAATAAATAAATGAAATCCTTAAAAATAAAAGAAAAAGAAAAAGAAGTAGCAGTGGACAAGACCGTGCGCCAAGAGAACCAGCACTTCCCTCCCTCATCCTCTCATCAGAAGCTTTCAGATTGTAAAACACCAAAACACATAGGAAGAACTGAGCAAGCATCCAATGCTAGACCCATTAGACCCGGGGTTCCGTGTACTGGTTGTGTGCCTCACAAAGGCAAGGAGCACTTTTCACTGAGACACCCCTTGGGGTTATGTCATGTGCCAGCCTCAGAGGACACTCAATGCCTCCGTGGTAATAATAGTTGTTACCACGTGCCAGACACCTTATAGGCACCATCTTACTTAATCCTCACAACAGCTCTGCAAGAGGGACATTATTTTCTCTTGTTTTATAGATGAGGAAATGGGCTCAGACAAATCGAGGTGGTGCAGTGAGTGAGCGACATCATTCAAATTCAAACCCGGCTTCGTCTGGCTCCAAAGTCCACTTCCCGCGTTCTATTCAACACTCTCTCCCAGAGAAGAGACGCTTCTGGTTGCGTTGGAAGATCCGGGAAGATTTCCTGGTAGAAGGGGGCAATGACCTCCCTCTTGGAAAATGAGGAGGATTTGGCCAATCAGACACGAGGAAGAAGAGCCTTCTTTGTGAGCCTAAGCACTGACACAGGGGGAGGAAGCAGACTGTGTTGGAGGGTGGACATTGGGGGGCTGTTACGCTAACCGCTCAAGGCGAGAAGAGATGAGTAGAGCAGGTGGGGGGAGGAGTTGACGTGTAGGAAGAGACAAAAATGAGAGCCATTTCAAGTGAAGAACAGCAAGACTTCAGTCCTTTTAGCCTACAAAACAGTTACATGTCTATATAAGCCCCACTCATGATTAAGAGATCAATCGAATGGTGCCGGCAGATTTGGAGTCTGGAAGACTCCAGGGTGGAGAGAGCCGGCTTCATGGAGGGCATAAGACTTGAGCTAAATCCTAACCTGTCTGACTGTGAAAAAGAAGGATTGAATCAAAGAAGGTGTCACCATTTAGAGCCCTAAGAAGCTCAGAAGACACGGTAAGCTCTGGATTTAAGTAAGGAAATTGGAGTGAGGGTAGAGGCCAGGGGTGAAGGTGAGTCCAGGTTGGACACGTTGAGCTTGGCAGATGATAATAACATCCCAGTGGATGGCCCAGGAATCAGCTCAAGAAATTGGAAGGGGTCATCACTGGGCGATACGGGCTCGGAGAGGTCACGTGCACACAGGCAGGTAGGACCACTGCAGCACAATTCCCTAACACTCACATTCAAGGCACAGTTAGGAAAAGAAGCAGATACGTCAAAGGGGACAGAACAGAAGTGATCAAGAGGTGGAGGGAGAAGTATGACTCATGGAACTCCAGGGAGGAGAGATGGGTGGGCTCTGTCTTCCAGTGCAACAGAGGAGTCAAGGTGGGGGCAAACCTGGTCATCATGGAACTGGGAGCCTTTGAACTGGCCTTAAATCAGAGCATTTCATTAGGGGAAGTTGGGCTGGAAGGGCATCCGAGGCAAAGGAAACGGCAAGACCACACGTGCAAAGCAACATCGTGGTCAAGAATCATCTTTTGCCTGGGTAAACGTCTCAGTATAATTAGGCATACCTCTCAAATTCCAGGCGTACCCTACATGTGTTCCCTTGGAGACGCCATTCCGTAGTCGGCGTGCTCCATAACCCATTTCGACTTCATGTTTGGTCTTCTCCCCTTGAACGCATGCTGCTGGAGCATGGGGGGGCCCTCTCCTATTTGTCTGTTTCTTCGTTTGGCCTTTCTCTTACGTAGCACTTGATAGGGGCTCAATCCAGTTGACTGACTGGTACTGAAGATCATAAGCATAGGAGTCATTTCAAAGATGGGAAGATAAAACTGCTGTAACCGCCCCCCCCAAAAAAGTACATTTTGAATTGGGCGAATTTATTGACCTTTTGAAATGCCATCCCTAAAAGAGCATTTCCCTCCTTTAGAGTGGTAACGGTCACTCCATTTTTAAGGTGACATGACGTCTAAAACAAAAATCTGCCACATAGTGTTAATCATATCTGTAATAATAAGAAATGTTTTATTG